AAAACATCTGTCCCAAGTTTTCATGGGTAGTTAGTGGCCGAGCTGGGACTAAACCCCAGCTTTCCTGACTGTGAACCCCGTGCTCTTTATAAAGCCAGCGGGAGCTGTGAGGCAACCATCTGTAAGATCACCTGAGTCAGGCAGCTCTCTACCATCTGGACTAACAGGAAAACAGTGACTCACAGAATCCGACGTTCCTTTGGAATGCAGGAGAGGTGTGCTTTTCTTCTGTGCTGTGAGCCTTTGCAGCTTTTGTAAATAAAACCCTATTTTAAATGCCCCAGGAGAGCTGGCAATTGTAAGTGCCTTGCAGGCCAAGGTCATATTTGGTGCTACTTAGCACAAGTTTAAACTGATTGACTGATGCGTCAGTCATTTGACAGATGGAGAGAGAATTTCTGTATTTGGAACTTCAAAGAGTCAGTGATTTTTTATTTTATTTTTATTTTTTTGCTTAGACCAAAAGCCATGTTCATTTGCATTCGGAAGCACTTGGGAGTGGCAGGAAGAATAGGGGGTTGACAGTTGCCAAGGGTTACACATGTAAAATAATTGAAAGTTGGCTGTTTGAAAATGTGAAGGTAAATCTTACAAAGCCAGATTCCATTGTTTTCTAAGCAAAGAACCCTTGAAAACTCAAGAATCTCATACATCAGACCTATTATCTGGGGATAGATACTTTCTGGTAACTTTAAAGCTGTAACACGTGAAGAAGAGACTGACTGGTTCCTCTGACACAGAGCAGGCCCTGCCCCTCACATCAATTCCATCTGTCATCTGGCCACACCCCAGGAGAATCCTGCCTTCCTCTCTTCACAACCACACAGCACACTGTAGAAACTGAGCTACAGCCACCTTTATTTCTGCCACCTCACACAGGCCTCCTGGTCTGCAAGGCAAAGACACTTTTCTCTATTTCTAGGTAAGCTAATGGCCCTAGACATACCAACAAGCATTTACCTATAGGACTACTATAAAGACACTATTTTTAAAAAGTGAAATCTTAATAATATACCATTTTCACATGCTATTCTACAGCTCAAAAATCTTCAATGACTCCTGAAGGCCTACAGCATACAGTTCAGACTACTGAGGTGACATTGAAGGCGGTCCAACGCTGACCCCACCTCTCCTCTCCTGCTCCTTGGCCTCACTGTTCTGCTACCTAAGCCCCTCAGTGACACTGGCCAATTAAGCATCCTCCAAATAGTCACATGTCTTTCCCAGTTGGACACATTCCCTCCCTTTCCCTATTGTTCATCACCCATCTACAGAAATGCTCTTTCCATGGCTCAGCTCAAATGCTACCTCCTCTGTGGTCTTTTTGCTACTCGACTACCAGGATTCCATGCTTTTTTTTTCCTCCATCCGAACAGATTCTTGTTTTCCTCTGCTGTAAATACCCCACATAGTCTGGCGTCCATTCTTAATAAATATTTGTTAATTGGTGAATTCTAATTAAGCCAAAAACAGTTTCCATTGGCAAAGCTCTTTAAAATAAGATAATCATCAGTAGCTGTTATTATATCCACACAATGGAAACTTCAGAGTGTCTAGTGTGTTGTCATTGGATTCCTTTCTTTCCACAGAAGACCAAACTAGGTCATTTCAAACCTCAGTCACCTTCAGAGGGATTCTAGAAGGGGACTCTAAGAGTCAGCAAAGCGATCACATTCCTGGATTCCTGACTTGATGTCGAGATCTGTTACTGAATCAGATTCAGGCAAGTGTAAACGGGAGAAATGAACTAATCATTAGCACCATCTGAACAAAATGGAAGGAGCTTTTTTGTTACATTGGCTGGGTATTCAGATTTGAAAGTGGGGAGTGAAAGGGGAAAAAGGAGAAGAAAAATACAGCTATCAATTGCCTTCCCTTCAAAGTGCTTTTCTTGCCTTTTCTGTTTGGATTGAAAAGATGATTTGCTGTAATCTGATGAGAATATCTGCTACATATTTATCACCCAAACACTCCTCTAACTGGGTCCTGTTTAGTTTACTCAGAACACATTTCTTTGCTAAATTAAAAAGTGGTACCCTGCCTGTAAAATGGAATCTGATTTCAGCGGTCAACCCTAGAACAGTCAATGCAGTCCTATTTCTAGATCCAGTAACAGGGGTGATTCATTTCATATACTTCATTAATGGATTTGGCCACATCCTCAAAAGACAAACAGTTTGGAAAGAGGAAAACTGAGTTATGGAGGGTAAGAAGAGAGTAAAACCAAACAGCAAATGGGCAAGACAGCTAATATGACAGTTCTAGCTTTCTAAGCATTAATTAATTATTTTATTCATTCATTAAACTAATAAATACTGACTTTTCTCTATGTGTCAGTGCTCAACAGTGTCATTTATTCAGACCGTATGTATCAACTGAGTACTTATTTTCTGCTAGCTAATTAAGCACTAGATATAACTTCTTCACGTCCCAAAAAGTTATGAATAGGAGGCATGGAGGTAAAAATTATAAACATTAAGAGAAATAATCAATGTCAAAAAATCATAAGTAACAGATAATTGTTCTAATGTTAAATTAGTTTATAATCAAGATCTTCAAGTTCTCTCGTATATCATTAATCTTCCTTCATACTACAAGAACATGAGGTCTTAAGATTTTCAGGTGTATCCAACTGAAAATAAACTGAGTTACAAACGAAGCAATTGAGGCTTTGGTCTCTGGAGGCAGGCAGATAGGAATATGTAAAAAACTAAGTCCAGTGTAAACTTAGCATGTGTGGCAGCTAATATCCAAATGCCACTACTGGGTTCCTCCCTCCCTCCCTTCCTTTTTCTTTTTTGTTAATTCTCACCCGTGGCTACATTTTTCCATTGATTTCTAGAGAGAGTGGAAGGGAGGGAGGGAAGGATAGAGAGAGAAAGACATCGACATGAGAAAGCCACATAGATTGGTTGCCTCCTGCATGACCCAGACTGGAGCCAGATCAAATGTGGGGGGGACGGGTGTTGAACCTGCAACCCAGGTACATGCCCTTGACCGGAATTGAACCCAAGATCCTTCAATCCAGGGTCCAATGGTCTACCACTGAGCCAAACTGGTCAGAGCTATTGGATATTTACTTAACAGATTTCTTTAAAATCCCTTTTTACAGTTGTGGACCTCTCTAGACAAATGATTCTTAAAGGGAAGAGGGAAATTTGCCCTCCAGAGACATTCACCTAAGTGTAGAGACATTTTCGATTTCCACAACTTGGGTGGGTGGGTGGGGGGTGCTATTGGCATCTGGTGGGTAAAAGCCAGAGCTGCTGCTCAACATCTGCAATGCACAGGAGAGACGCCCACAACAGAGAATTCGCTGGCCCAGGGTGTCCACAGCACCCACTTGGAGAAACCCTACTCTTGGCCACCATTTTTCGTTCTCTTGGAGCCTGGTAACCTGGAAAAGCATCAGGATCTAACTTGAGACCAGGCTGGGTGTTTTATATGGCTGCCAGTTGCACAGAGTACACAGGCTTTGCAAACTCACCAGCTGTGGCTCCCTCTCTGGTTAGTTTCAGCTAGTTTCCTCAGCCCTTGGAGATTCCTTTCTTTGTTTTCTACTTTTTTAATTAAAAATGTTTAATGTTGACACTATTGCTGATGTCCCCCATTTTTCCCCTTTGCCCACCGTCACCCACCCCACCTTCCTCTCCCTTCATTTTCGCCACACAATTGTCCATGTCCATGGGCATGCATATATGTTCTTTAGCTAATCCCTTCACCTTCTAGATAGTTTTACATATATATAATTTTACATATAGTTTTATATAGTTATATATAAATATATTTAGCAAAATTCCCTTATTTTTACCAGCCCACCCACCATTCCTCTGCCCCTCCCTGAGCCCCCTCAGAACCCCCATCCCCAAGGGTTCAGGTTCTCTCTTTTAAAATGCTTTAATTCCTTTGGTGGCAAAAATCGAGCTTGGGCTGGGAAGTGAGTCACCACTCAGAAGCTAAAGGAGCTTGTTTTTCTTTCTCTGAATGCATTTGTTAAGAATTTCTGCCTGATCCTTCAGCTGCCTGTTGTTTGAATCCTCTCTTGATGTTTAAGACACACAGGGAGAACTATGGCACCAAGACGGTTTCCAATGGTTAGGAATGAGTTTTTAAATACCGAAAATAACCAGAGGGCAGAGAGCCCTGCAATCCTGTTATATAAGCAGATGTTGGAGGACCGACACTGGTTTGAGGTTCCTTTCTCCACAAGCCAACCTCTGCTGATCCTCCCCAACCTTTGCTGGATTTACCTTAATGCTGCAGAAGTCTCAAGAGGGGACTCTGGATGCCTCACACTACCGGCAGCAGAACTTTCCTGAAAAATAAGCCCTGCCAGGTGTGATGAGTGGCGGGGCTGGGGCGCGGGCGGCCGCCCCATCAATCGCATCAATTGCGCCGGTGAAGGTCCCTGCCCTCTCCGCGTCCGCCCAGCCCTTGGCTTTGCTTCTCCGACGCCCCGCTTCCCCTCCTTTGCCTGACGTAGAACCCTTCAGTTTTCCTGAACCGTTATATGGCTTTTCAATTTCACAGAAAACACCTTTAATGATAATAGTTATCCGGAAGCGCCCCCCGCCCCCCGCCACCTCCGCCCCAACAAAAATGTCATACAAAAACGAAAAATAATTCAATTCCCCTTTCCTTCCAGGTCTTGCGTCTTTGGGTGTCTCTCTGTTCCCTGTTCATTTTCTCCGCAACCTTTTCCCCACATGTGGTCTACATCCTTTTCTCTATTTCTCTTCGTCCTTTTTTTCCTTCTCCTTCCTTCCTCTCCTGTCTCCACTCCTCCCTCCGCTCCTACCCCCCCCCCATCTGTCTCTCCTCCTCCTCTGGGGCTCCTTGCTCTGCCCTCTCCGCCCCTCCCCAGAGAAGAGTGTCCAGCTCCTCCCGAGGCTGCCCGCCCGCCGCTCCTTCCCTGCCCACCTACTATGAGGAGCGACTCCTCCCACCTGCCCATAAAAGCCAAGTGCATGTTACCAGCACCCGATCAGAGCACTTTCCCGGTCCTCTCCTGTGGGAGCCCCGAGACTCTCTCCTGGATCTGACGTGCTCAAGGTAAGAAACACTCCTGCAGGCATTCGACCTACTAGGGGTTGCTGCTGGGAATAAGCCTCCTCTGGCCAGCACGCTTACTGTTTGGTTAGAGCTGATTCTTACGGATGCCAGATCAGCTGTTCCTTTAACTAGCAACTGGTTCGAAAACAAACTTCTGTTTGAACGGTAAAATAAAAGTTCATCTTGGGCAGAAACAGAAGCAAAAATATTTCATAAACCCTTTTTCTCTTTTTAAATCACATTTTCTCTGGTGCTGACTGTTGCTGAGGTTATAATGTATCCGTTTGGGGTGTTTTACTGACGTTTTTCCATTGTAAATATCTCACATATCAGTGGGGGCAAGGAAAACTTTGTCCCATTGTCAAAAATGTTTTTTAAAAGAACACAATTAGTTTCCTCAAAATAGCACAGTCAAAAGGTCTGCTAACAATTTTGTGATGTTTTCCAAACCCCCAAGACAGCTTCTGTGAATCCTTTAAAAAATATCTTTCCAGGTTTAAGTGCTTGGAAAAAATGATGATGTGAACCGGTGCCCTTTCCGCAGAGACGGTAATCAGGTGGCTGGTAGATAGGAAAGAACAAATGTAAGTTTACAAGCTGTGGCAGAATGTGCTCTCACAAAGCTATCTTTTTGAGACATCCTAAAATGAGAATTAGATTGGAAGTAAGAAAGTATATAAAAGGACTTCATGAATTTCTATATACACACCTAAACATAAAGCATTTCAATATGTTTTACAGTAGAGAAAAATACAGGCCAAATTATACAGTACTTCTGTGTACACCAGATAGTTTTAAAGAAATATCGGCTAGAAGGCTTTGGAGGTTTGAACCCTGCTTGCCACCCTCTTTTCCCTCAACTAGTAAATTAAAATCGACCTGATTGGCATCCAGTTCTCTCAGAGATATCCAGTGGTTAAGCTACCCTCATTTTTAAAGACATTATCTTCTTATTTCTGAGGTCTGAGCATGAGCATTGTGCACCTGTGGAAGGAAAAACACACTCTGCAGCGACTCCTGTAAAACCAGACACTTGATCCATGAAGTTTGCCATCAAAATCTGTGGGCTGTGTGGGATGAAACTCTCTCATGTGGGAGAAAAGCCCTCTTCCAATGTTTCCTCTGGGGAATTGCACAAGACCGCTTAAAGACGGCAAATCAAAGCTGGCAGTCAGGAAACCAAACCGCTATTTCAGCTCTTAAGGTTCTTAAAATAAGAGAGGAAAAGTTTCACTTTTTTTTCTTGGTTTGTTTATATTGTTTAAGTTGAAAAACTCACGAAAGCTGTAAAAAATGCTCCACTATTAAGGAAGTAGAATCATTAGAAGTTTAACTGAGAGTCTTCCAAACTTATTTCTTACAGTTTGCATATCAAAAAATAATAATAAAGATATTTTATAATTCTGTTTGGCATGGAGGGGATTCAATACGATTATTCAAATGAAAGAGTTATATGTAAAGCTTTCTGTCATGTGAAATTTTGTTTCATTGGAAAAAAAGTATTGCAAGGAGTGCGGTTTCCTTTAAGAAAATGATATAAAATTACTATTGGCCAAGATAATACGTGACCTGGGCATATTAAAATAGCTTTTATCTCAAGCCACAGTACAGACAGCTTGCTTCACATCTGATGTAAGTGGGTGATCAACCATGACAGGAGCACAGGTATGGGACAAGGCCAAACCAAGTGTGTGGTATGTCCAAGTTCATTCTTTTTTTTATGGTAGTGCCGGACTCACGCCAGTCATCAGAAGTGTGAAAGTATACTGCTTCATTCAGCAGATCCCCTTGAGGGAAGTTATCTTTTCTGGGAAGGAAAAAAAAAGTGCTCCCAGTGTAAAAGAGCTCCCTGTTGTTCATAAGTTTGGAGATGCAAAGTGCTCTCCCAGGGTTTGCTTCTGCTTTTCCTGGCAGTTGGTCCACTCCACTAGCTATGAACCATTTAACAGAAACTGCCTTCCCCCATGTGCCATCAAGTTCTACACCCTGAATAACTGAGTGAGATCATCCTAGATTGCTCATGATCTAACTTCCACAGGGGCTTCTAACAGACACTTAAAGTGATTCTTTCTTCATGGAGCACACATCAGTCAAGATGACACTTAGAAAAATCAGTGGTGAGCCCTGGCTGGTTTGGCTCAGCGGTTGGAGCATCAGCCTGTGGCCAGAGAGACCCGGGTTTGGTTCCCGCTAAGGGCACGTACCTCGGTTGCAGTTTGTCCCCGGCCCTGGTTGGTCATGCGGGTGGCAGCCACTTGATGTGTCCCTTCACATCAATGTTTCTCTTCCTCTCTCTCCCTCCCGCTCTATCTGAACAAAAAATGGAAAAATGTCCTCGGGTGAGGATAAAAAAAAAAAAGAAAAGAAAAATCAGTGGTGAGATTTCATGTAGTTATCCCACTGTCTACCCCTTTGCACAGGATCTCCTTTTTGTGCCATTGTATGGCTGCCCCCAGATTGGGTTCATTGCCATAACTATGCAACATTATTTCAGGAGGTTTTGAACGACTCCTTTAATGTTTCTCAAAAAAAAAAAAAAAAAGGTGAGCAGTCACTGGATTCACTAGAAGCAGAGGGAGGGTACTCTGCTCATTTTAAGGGCCTGCCACACCCAGGGGAACACACATCTACCATTTCAACAGTACAAAACAATATTCTTTACATAATCAGAATGTATATCCCACTGTATTTCTATTTGTGAATCAACATCAAGTAAACGAGAACGGGAATAAGTAGTGAATTGAGAGGGAACCTGGAAGGAGTCACTTCTAAAAAGTGCCCCAAGTTAATAGAAAAATCAGAATCAGAATCTCTGTTAACAACCGGTTTTTTTTTCCTTTATTTATGTGGAATAAGAGGAGATGAGGAAGATAAAAACTCTATACCTAGTCTTATTTTTCTTTCTTAAATCAATGATAAATTGATTTCCATTAATAAGTTAAGATCCATCTGTGCTGTGCCCTTCTCTAACAGAACGAGAACAGCTCAATTCTAAAGACCAAGAGGATTGCAGGTCTGCCCCACATTAAAACCCACACAGTTTGACCAGTTGTGATTTTAAAAGCGATATCATGGGTATAAAAACCCTCAGAATGTATTTTTAATAAAAAGGTGATTCACATCAACAAAACCAACTCTAACTCTCCCAAAGGACCCAGTGCTGGGTAATTATTTGAAAGTGAGAAGGAGGCATTTACTCCCTCTTATCCATGGTCATTCTTTTTGGTATCGCAGTTTGCAGAGGGATTGAGATGCAGCCATTATTTCTCAACCTTTGGTCTTCCCAGTAACCCTCTGAGCACTAGGTCTTTCTTCGCACCTGAGCTTTCTCTTCCACCAGGTCCCCATCAACATTCACATGCATCATTTAAAGAAAGTGCAGATCTTAAGACTAGAGTGCAATCTTCTTATTGGAGAGGTACATTGTTCCAGCTATTGAGTGAAAAGAAACAAAAGGAGAGGAGAGGAGGAGGTTAAGGGGAGCATGAATGCCCTTTGGAATTTAGAGACTCTTTCGCTTTGTGTGAAAAGGATCCCTTTAACCAAAGCATCCAGAAAAATTTTTTTTTAAAAGACCAGCTCACAAATTGTCACAAAAAGGTGAGGATATAAGGAAAAGTATCTTCCAATGACGCGACAGTCACTAAAAGCAGTTTACACCCCACAGTATGAAACTGGAACTCTGCTAAAATTTTCTTTTCTGGAGAGACAAGGAGTAAGAGGGGGAGAATTAAGCACATTTCAGCACCAGCAGAGAGAAGGCGCTAATCTGACATTCCACGATGGCTTTGGTAACTATGTTTGCTGTTTAAGATAGAAGGTTTCTTATAGTCTTCCCTCAAGCAAACAGATTTTCAGGAAGGGGGTTAAGAGAGTCACACAAGGTTGGAATGTCTATACTATAATCAGGGGGTCCTGTGTACACAAATCCACAAACCATTGAAATTGCATGGGATCAAATTGAAGTGACTGAAACAAAAATATTCCCCCAAAGTGATCATAGAGTAATCAGTTAAATGATTATGAATTTTAACTTCTCAATGTAGCATAATAGCAAAAGCAGCTCCCAGAACCTTTAGCTGATTGTATAGAATACTGAAACACACCTGATGATTCACCTTCAATCTCCTCCATTAATTCTGAGCTCACTTCCATTATCCTTCCTAGAAAACAAAAACTGCCCTTCTTCCCTTCAGCACAGGGTTTGCAAATGCAGTTATGTCCCCTCTGTGCTATCCCCTTTTCTCTTTTTCTGGAAGAAATCTCTTCTCAGTTCTTATAGATCAAGTTTCTGGAGTACCACTCATACTTGTGGCTTTTCTCATTACCAAAGTCTCATACTTTTCTCAAACAGGATGTAACTTTTTACTCCCAACAAATAAAAAGGCTTTATATTTTCTAAACCTTAATTCATATACCCAGAAGAAAGATAATTTAAAATTGCTACTGTCCTCCAATGAGTTCTCTGAAATAAAGTTTCTAAGCATTTGTATTTACCTAGTCCCTATTCTAACTTCTTGGGGATTAAAAAACTTATTTAGAAAATCTCAGAATATAAATATTGGAAGGATCCTTGGAGCTAATTTTAACTGAAGTTAATTTTACAGATGAGAAAAAGTCAGAGAAGTTAATGCCTTGCCCAAGGTCTCCCAGACATGCAGAACCAAGGCTGGAGCTCCTGGAGCTAAACCCTCCAGTCAGCCCTCTGTCTCAAATAACTACAGTGTGTCTTCCCCCATAGCGTGTATCTAAGATGTCTCTGACTACACGGAGACTTCTGTTGGAACTTAACATGCAGGGATCTCAGAAAACATAACCTGGTAGAGGTGTTGAGACTGCAGCTGTACCTCTACTATAGAGCGTCTAAAAGCATTGATCCAAACCTTTGTGCAGGGTAAAATCAGTGACTGTCATCATCACAGAGACCTTGCATGTTTTTCTCCATTCCAGGACCTGGTACGTAGTATTTCCTAGGTAAATCTGTGGAGTGGGTGAGTGAA